GCGGCAGCAGCACCATGGAAATGGTGCTGGGGGAAATGGCTTTTAAACCTGCTCCACTCCAGCACTGACTCCTGTCTCCCTCACCCCCCCACCACCACGCTGCCTCATTAGGGTTGCCAGGTATTTGAGCTTTCTGTTCGGAAAACAAATTGAGAAAATATAAATGTCCGGTATTTTCTAAACAAGATGTAATGTCGATTGTGATGTAATGTCAAGTGTGTCTGGTATTTTTGTTGAGACCATCTGGCAACCCTATGTCTCACAGAGGCAGCAAGTGGGAAGAGAAAAGTGAGTAGTTGATACTCCAGTCGACTATCCAATAAGCTTAGGCTTATGACTACTCACTAACATCCCTAAACCCATGTTCCAAAATGAGCTGCCCAGCGAGTAGAAAGTCACATACAATGGAAGCCTGTATTCACTGGCTACTAGACTGCACAGTGTCATTAAAACCTGCAGATTAAAAGAGATGAAAAGGCAAAGGGGAAGCAGCATTCAGTCCCTGTATAAATCATGTCACTGTGCCTTGAACTGAGTTCTTCTGTACCATAGATGTGACTGTCACTGTCAAACACAGAGCTCATTAGAAACTTCATTTCCATGAGCACCCAAATTCATGACAACTTTAAACATTGAACAAGTGTGTACATAAATATTACTGGGGGGGAGGGTAACAACAGCTTCCCTCATATACTTACCAACTTACCGGTACATGCAAAGGTATGTGTCAGGATTACCCACTGCTCATTAATTTTGATTGGTTGGTTACACTCTAACCATAAGTAAGAATAAATGCTAAAGTCAGAAGGAAAATGGACTAAAACGAAACACCCAGTTGTAGCCATCCACGCTTTTTATTTGTGCTACATTAAGGCACTGACACAGTTTACTGTACTATAGATCAAAGACCATTTGCCCTAAAGGAAAAGGGCACAGGGCTACCACAGCACTACAATCGAGTGTGCAGCTGCTCCCCGAGTTGCTCGGTTGACAATCACTTCAGCCTGAGGGCAGAATCAGCATGCCCAAAAGAAAGGGCCTGATCACATGGGCATAGAAACAGATAGGAGACTGTCGCTCAGGCTGCAGTAGAATGTTTGCTCAGCCCCAATATACGAGCCAAACATGGAGCAAATATGTAAAGCATGGCAGAGCACAGCAGCTATTTCCAGAATTTAGATCAGGATTTCAAGACATCTGCTAACAGCTAAGAGAGGGCAGAAAGCACAAACAGATGCCTGTTATCACCCCACAAGGACTTTCTCAAGGATTCCAGGAAGAGGATAGCTTTAAAAAGAGAGAGAGAGAATCTAAGCAGATTTTGAGAGGGCTGTGGCATTTCCAGGAATTTCTGCCAAGCTTTCCTGCATATACTGGTGGGATAGGAGAGCTGAAGTAGCAGCATGCCCAATTTATATGGATGCCAACCTCCCTAAATAAGTGCTGAATCCTGCATCAAAAGAAATGTTGCTGCTAACTTTAGTGGGAACACACTCGACCAGGACCAGGAGAGTAGAAGAACTAGACAGTGTCAGAGGGCTTATCCCTTCACTCCCCTACTTCCCTGGTCCTTCTCATGTAAAGCGAGAACAGCAATACCCAAAGTCTGGAGAGGAAAACAATTCAATATTTATGAATCCAGATTCATTTCCTTTTCCCCTTGGGTTTTTTGCACCTCCTTCCTGTTTGTCCCCAATGTATACAGTGATATTTTCAGGTATATCTTAACCCAGTGTTTCTCAACCTTTTTTTTTTTTTTTTTAAATAAAGTACCCCTTTTGAAAAAAAATTATTAAGTACCCCCAGGACTCCTGTTCTAACCCAATGCACGCACCCTCCTCCGCCAGAGCCAGGAACCCCCAGCCCTCCCTCTCTAACCCAACGCCCCTCCCCCAGAGCCAGGCACCGGATGTATGGTAATCCTACTTTTGAAGTGCCCACTTCTACCACCTGGCCCTTGTCTGCAGGGAGCAACTGGCCTGCCAGCGTGTGGACCGCCAGCGCTGGGCTCACCGGATGGGGCTGTGCACTCCCACCCAGCGTGGCGCCCGGGGGCAACTCCCCCACCCTTCACTACGCCACTGATGCGGGGGTGTGTGTGTGTGTGTGTGTGTGTGTGTGTGTCCTTTGAGCAAAGCTTATTGTGTCACTTCACCACCTTTTAGCTCCTCTCTGTAGCACCACAGGAAAGGGGCAATGGGGATGCGTTGTACTGAACTTCTGGCAGCTGGCTGGAGAACCCCAGGGAAGCTGCCGGAAAGAAAAAGAGGTGGCTGTGGAAGTGATTTTTTTTCTTCTCTGCCCAAACAGACACACAGACATCAAGAACCATTAGCACCTTCACTGTGTGTAGAATCTGGTATTGGTCATCTTCCTTTCCAAGTGCAAACTAACGGTTCTTATCAGGCTCTTGTAACTATTTAGTCTTTAATGTGCTACTAGACTGTTTGTTGTTTTTTGAGCCTTTCCTGTTACAACCCTGGCCACCAACAGGTCAATCGGGATCAACAGGTCAATTGCAAGGTGTCCTGTCTGCCCCGCCCCCACTTCCCTCCCACCCCCGAGAAGACCCACTACCTACCTCAAGTGAAAATGGAGGTAGTGTCAGCTTCCTGGGGATGGACAGAAGTCCCGCAGCTTAGCGCCACTTCCGGCAATTCCAGAAGTGCGCTAGCTGCTCTGCTGGGTGTACTGCGGGAGGGAGCATCGGTTCCCTGCACCACACAGGAGGGATGAGTCAGCCCCGGGGAAGGCGTACGCGGGGGAGGGGGAGTGTCAGCCCTGGAGAAGGGCTTTTCATGCGCCGGGGGGTGGGG